GACAAAGGCTTAGTTACCCCGAGGTATGTGGGCTTTTGGCTCTGAGCAGGGATCAAACCCACATCCCCTGCATTGGAAGGTGTATTTCTGTACCACTGGACCACCAGAAAAATCTCCCAAAGTGATTTTATTTTATTTTTTTTTTCCATTTCCCAAAGTGATTTTAATGGCACATGGATGTTATTGTACTCACTCCTCTTAGAGTCAGGCTAACCCATGCTAAAAAGTCAGACTGTGTCCTGTGATGACAGGATGGGTGCCCCAGGCCTGCTGGTTCCTCCCTCTCTCCCTCCTTCGGCCCACCCACCCTTCAGAGTCTCTGCCCTCAGGCCCTTCTCTGGGCCTCAACTCCCAGCCGACTTAAGCCCCGGACCCTGTTCCTTGCCACCTTCCCATCCCCTCCCTGGCCCTGCTTCTCCTCTCCAGACAAGAGCGCAGCCTTCCCCCAGGCTTCCAAGCTCCTTCTGGCCCATTCACTGACTCCCATGGTTGCTCGGCCCATTCTTGGCTCCCGACCCTGCAGCTCAGTATCTGGCCCCGCCTGGTTCTCTGCTTTGCTCTGACATTTCTGGTCTGTCCTCCAGCTTCCGGCTGGACGCTTTCTGCCTGGGCAGGAGCGTCTCATTTTGTGTACCCTAGGCTTTTCTTTGTGACTTCTTTTTAAATATTCGTGTATTTAAGTTTTGAAATAAGAAGGTGATTCAACTTAAAATACTAGTAGTACAACAGTTATCTTGTAAACGTGATTTTAAAACAATATGAGGGTTGGAAGGACTCAAGGTTTGGCCTGTCCATGGAGAGGAAAGAGAGCCTGGATTTTGGACCTAGAGACCTAGGTCTAGTCATGCGCTGCCCCCTGTGGGTTCCTTCTGAGTAGTGCCTGCGTGCTAGGTCGCTTCAGTCGTGTCTGACTGTGACCCTGTGGACTGTAGCCCGCCAGGCTCCTCTGTCCATGGGATTTTCCAGGCAGGAATACTGGAGTGGGTTGCCGTTCTGGAGATCTTCTCCAGGAGATCTTCCTGGTCAGGGATCAAACCCGTGGCTCCTGTGGCTCCCACATTGTAGGTGGACTCTTTGCTGCTGAGCCATGGGAGATGTCCCCTTTTGAGTAGAGTAGAAATTAAAAATAATGACCAAAAAGATCCCCAAACCCTACCTCCTAGGTCGCGTTGAGATTTACATTAGGTGAAAGGATGTAAGCAAAGCACCACTCACCATATTAAATAATTGGTAGTGCTTCTTGTATTATCTGTTATAACCTGACTAGTTATTATTTGGAGAAGGAAATGGCAACCCAGTTCTGTATTTTTGCCTGGGAAATCCTATGGACAGAGGACCCTGGCGAGCTTCAGTCCAGGAAATCAAAAAGAATCAGAGCCTCTAGGCAATGTTGTTATTAATAAGAATTTAATAGGGGATATATTTATACATACAGCTGATTCACTTTGTTCAGCAGAAACTAACATAACATTGTAAAGCAATTATACTCCAACTAAAAATAAATAAATAAATAATATTAATAACATAATAAACTTGAGAATTAAATTTGTCATGAGAGGTTTAGTAAAAACATACAAATTAAATCTTTAGTTTTCCTCCTGAATAGTAAAGCAAAATTAAGATGTTTAGTCCGGAGTTTTTTAGTTACCATTTTACTGTGTATTAACCCAAAGAAAAAAGGAACAAAAAATTTAGTGTTTAAAAAAATCCTATATCTTGTAACATTGACATCAGATAATTGTTAGACAAACAAGCAAGAAGGATTTCAAGATCAGTGTCTTTTACTCTTTAATTTTGTGGACAAATCTTGAAAGAACTGAGAGCTGACTATGAAAATATTTCACGACAGCACTGAAGAAAGTCGTGTACATGTTGTCTTCTTTTTGGTGTGCTGCTTGGCATGAGATTTTAGTTTCCTGACCAGGGTTTGAACCTGAGCCCTTGGCAGTGAGAGCATTGAGTCCTAACCACTGAACTGGAACTCCCCAAAATGATTTTTTGACTTAAAAACATGACACTGGTTATTATATTAGCACATGTTAAGTTTTTGTCTTCTAATTTTTTCGGAGGAGGAGGAAATAAACTTATTCAAACTTTGAGGAAAATAGTTTCTTGAGAGAAAACTTCTTTGAAGATGACTTTGCAGCGGAAAATGTGACAGTTTATGTGACAGGGACTAATGTGAGTTGAAACTGTGAATTTAGAGACTTCTGTCCACTGCCTGCACTTGTCCCTAAAGAATAGGAAGTTGACTTTGTTTTATTTTAATATTGCTGTATTTGCTTGTGTAAGTTTGAGTTTGGACTAAAAATTTCCATATGATTATCATCAATTGATATGCATTAGGTAGGCAGCTATTTGGTTTCTTTGAATTATTAGTATCATATAAAGAATAGAACGTTAATTATGTCAGAGAGAAGCAGATGAATTTGCCTTATGTAGCAAAGGGAAGTTCTTATAGTGGGGTAAATTGAATTTTGGTAAATTTTCAATATTCAGATTAATATTAGCCAACTACATAAGTTATAACAGAATTAGATCCCTGTAAACAGACAAAAGTGTTGGTCACTCAGTCATGTCTGACTTTTTGCAACCGCACGGACAGTAACGTACCAGGCTCCTCTGTCCCCACGGATCATAGCCTGCCAGGCTTCTTTGTCCCCATGGACCATAGCCTGCCAGGCTTCTCTGACCATGGAATTCTCCAGGCAAGAATACTGGAGTGGGTACCCATTCCCTTTTCCAGAGGATCTTCCTGACCCAGGGATTGAACCTGGGTCTCCTGCCTTTCAGGTGGATTCTTTACCGTCTGAGCCACCAGGAAAGCACCAGGAGAAGCCCCTGATGCCGGGAAAGATTGAGGACAAGAGGAGAAGGGGTGACAGAGGATGAGATGGCTGGATGGCATCACTGACTCAATGGGCATGAATTTGAGCAAACTCCCGAAGACAGTGAAGGACAGGGAAGCCTGGGGTGCTGCGGTCCATGGGGTCACAGAGTTGGACATGACTTAGCAACTAAACACACATATATAAACAGACCAAGAGTTAGTATAATCTGTTCTTAAAAAAACAAAACAGCTCTTTGCAAAGAAAAACTCATAGATGAAAGTCTTTTGTTTAGGAAAGAACCCAATCATTATGTTTGCCTTAAGTTATTTTAAAGTTCTTTGTGTGCTAAAGATTGATATGCCAAAGTAATTGAATGTTAGATCGTGGGCAGCCAAATCAAAATTGCAAAAAATGAAGCAAAGATACTTCCTGAAGGAGATAGGTTTAATGGGCTCTAGGTGTTGAGCTAAGGACAGTCTTTTGAAGTTAGATTTAAAGTATCAGTCCAGTGGTTAAGGCTCAGTGCTTTCACTGCCTAGGGCCCGGTTCAGTACCCCGTTAGAGAACTTAAGATCCCACAAGCTGCATGATGCGGCCAAAAAAAAAAGTATCAGTTCCTTTTGTCTGTGGCTTGACAATTTCTGACTAAAAAAAAATGGGATTCCTTTCTCAGGCCCACAATCAAAGGCCATCAAGGTTCCCTGGCCTTGTCCCTAAGTAGAGTCCACAGGGTTCTAATAAACAGTCTGTTTTTCTTAAGGTTAATGGATATGTGAAAGATGTAACTACTGCTTGTACTCAGATATTTTCTCTTAAGTGCTGTCAAGTATAGATGGGAATATATTTGTCATATTTATTTCACTCTATTTCACTAATAAGAGTGCAATAAAATTGCTTAAAAGATGTGGACAGCAAAAAGGAGTTTCTGATAGTATAACCTATAACATTCACATAACCTTTACATTCTTTATAGTAATGTACCTCTTCTTAATTAATTGAAAAAATTATCATTATATAGACTTTGGGCTTTGATCAAACACGAAGCACAGTTAATTCCTTCAGTACCTGTTCTCTGGGCATCATCCATCTGATAGGCATCTGCCAGTGACTGTGTTGTACCAGAGCAGACGTGGTCATTGCCCGCCCTGAGCCTGCAGCCTAGTGGCAGGGACAGGTAGCAGTCAGGTAATGACATCAGTAAATGTCCCATTTCAGCCGCGTCAAGTGCTTCCAGGAGAAGAGGCATTGTGCATCAAGAGCATAGGCTGCAGTCTGACTTGGCAGAGGGATCAGAGAAGGCTCCCCGCAGGGAAAGTAAAAAATGTCCTGAGGCCTTTGGATGTTGAAGGTTCAGTAAGCAGAGGGGAAGGAGGAGTGGGCCAAACCCACAGAGTATGACGATGTATTTGAAGAACAAAAAGCTCCCAGTGAGACTTCCCTGGTGGCCCAGGGGCTCAGGGCCCGAGCTCCCAGTGCAGGGGCCCAGGTTCCATCCCTTGGTCGGAGAACTGGATCCCACATGCTGCAACTAAAGATCCTGCGTGCCACAGCGGAGATCAGAGATCCCGTTGGCGGCAGCTAAGACCTGGTGCAGCCAGATAAATAAATTAAAAAGGGAAAAAAAAGCTACCAGTGTGACTGGGAACCCAGAGAGCAAAGGGGATGTTGGAGACTGAAGGGATCGAACCATCCAGGCTTTGGTTACGTTTTATGTACATTTTGAGTGGAAATGGGGGTCAGAGTGAAGGCAGCACTATCAGATTTATCTTTTGCAAAGATCATTCTGGAAGCCCTTGAAGAGCAGAGGGCAAGGCCAGGGATGGTTGAAACTTATTATTAACAGAAGCTGTGCAGTAGTCCAGGGGGGAGATGTTGGCCGCTGGCAGGGGCAGTGGGGAGAAGCAGAGATGTGAGTGACGTGGGGAGGGCAGATGCCACGGGACTGGCTCTGCACTGCAGGTGGGGGTAAGGGAGGGTGTCCAGGTTTCCAGCTTGCCAACCCTGGAGGGTGATGGTGCCTTTTACAGAGATTCAAGCATGTAAGGAGGGCCGGTTGTGGTGTACGTGACTTCACTGACCAGACCAGCCTTTCTAATCATTTCTCTCATCTCTGCTCTTTCAAACAGGGTAATTTCTTTCAAAATATTGGTTCCATCACCCTATTTGCTGTTTTTGGTACAGCAATTTCCGCTTTTGTTGTAGGTGGAGGAATTTACTTTCTGGGCCAGGTAAGGAAAATATCTTTGAAAAACCTTGAAAACCTTATATTCTTAGAGCTTGTGCAGGAAAGTGGGGTAGGAACACCTGATGGGACCTGGGTTTCCAGTCAAGGTAAATACTCTCCTGCAAAGAAATCCAAAGTCAAACAGGCACAGTAAAGGCGTGCTCAAGTTGTTTCTCAGCGTCCTCGAGAAGCTTTGCTGTCTGGAATTGAGTGAATCTTTTCCATAATCCCCCAAAGTATTTGATCATATTTGCAAACCAATATTGTCTTAAGTTGGAATACCTAAAAATAAAGCAAAATATATACCATCAAGATCTTCAAATTATAACAATATCAGTTATGTTATCAGACTGAAGCAAAGTTAAATTTCTGTTTCTTTAATAAAAATTTGCATTTTAAAAATCAAGTATGGTTGTGAATGTGTTCACTCCATTCCAAGCTGTCCTGTAGAATTATCTTCCCTGGATTCTCCACCATTCCTAAAGCAGTTCCCAGTGTCATCAATTGAGTGCTTTGTATTTTGAGTTCAAATTAATTTGAATTAATTAATTCAGACCTACCTAGGAAGGTAGTATCTATGGCTTTGCCTTATGCATGTCTATTGCATGTCCCAGTTCTTTTCCAATATGGTCAGTTGTAGAAAGTTTGTCGACCCCAGTTCTACAAATGCAGTTTGAAGTTCAGGCCTTGGGGTGACTGGCAGATTTCTTTAATGTGTGTCAGATGTGTTTGCTTCTTTTGATGGCTCCGTCTGATCTTCACCTTTACCACTGCCTCGATGGCACCAGAATAAATCTGTCTGTCATGCAGCCTTCTTCATTGTTCAGCTTCCAGCATCAAAGGAGAATAAACTTTAGAGAAGAAAACTAGTTAATTTGGCTTGAGGAATGTAGCATTCTCTGTCATACTTTTGATGTATGATGATCAGATGCATGCCTAAACTAAAACTTAGGAGTTTTCTGTATTTTTCAAGTGGTTTGGGGAATGAAGATTAATGTCCTTATTAGTCTTGTAATAAAACACTAATGGACATTTTAATCTTCTTGGCTGTTCTCCAGGGGTTTTTTTTTGTGTGTGTCTGTGTTTGTGTGTTTTATTTTACAGGCTGATGTAATCTCTAAACTCAACATGACAGACAGGTAAACCTTTCATACTGCAACACCTGTGTGGCTGTACTTTCTTACTGGGGAAAGTTTTCTCCATATTGATTCCTGACTTCTCTATTGTGTCTCTTGGTTTGGCTGGTGATTTCTGCTGTAGAATCTATTCTGAATTAATGTGTATCTCCAAAATGAATCAAAACTATCTTGAAGAATGTTGAAGATCTCTAGTCAGAGAGTTGCTGACGGGAATGATTTAGTTTCAGGTTTCAAGGGAATAACTCTTGATTCATTAACTGGCTCCCTCACACACACATACACACACACTGCAGGCTACTACACATTTGTCCTTTTATTATTAGAGATCACCTGCAGCTCATTTCTAGAGCTTTTCAATGGTCATAATGGAAATTTGTCTCCTTGACAGGTTGGGATGGAGTCAGGGGTGAGGTGTCGGCCTTTGCTCTGGGATTCCCACTAAAGGGAGTGGGGAGGGGGCAGTGGAAGCAGGCAGGGCAGGGCCTCTGTTGTGGGCACCCGCCCCAGGCTGAAGCTACTCGTCGGACACTCAGAGCTGCTGTCTAGGAGCCCAATCCAGGAATTTCCATAATCGGCTTAGCAGGAAGCAACCTAGGCAGCTGTCTCTTGGGAAGGTACCAGATCTAGTGCTAAAAAAGTGCACACACAGAGTGTGACCTGGTTTCTCCTCGCCGAGACAGCCAGTGAGACTGCAACCCGTCTCTGTGTTTCTCTGCCAAGAACCCTGGGTTCTGTCCTCTGGCCCGGCTGGGGCGCTTGAACCCAGCGCTCAGCCCCGGGGGCCTTTCACTGGACCAGCGAGAGCGCTCAGCCTCTACAGCAGCACCTTGGAGCCCTTTTCGTGGGAAATGTGCCTTCCATAACATCAAGTCCAATCTCGTTTTCTCTCCAGGGACGTAGATTTCAAAGCTTTTGTTGTAAGATAGTCTCGATATATAAACACGGAGGGAAAGACGCATTCTTGTTTCACAGGGAGCAGGAAGCAGAGCAGAATTGATGGCCTGTACTTTGTAGGTGTTTTGCAACTGAAAAGAAATGCTCAAAGCTCAGTGGCTGTAAAGGCAGATATCATAGTATTCAGTCCTTCAGCCTGTCTGGGGACAGTTGGTTAGAGAGAAAAGAAATACTTGATAAATCCTTGTGACATTGAATGGGACGGGTGGATGGGATGTTCAGGAAGTGAGGAATAAAAGGATTGGCCCTTCGACTAGCAGAGTAAGATCCAGGTGGAGTTTCTATGTGGGCAGACACTTCCTTTCCTGTTAGAAAGTGACTGTCACACAGATTGTGGGGGTGGGAGGGGGTGTCCTCTGGGGAAATTAGCTCGCGGTTATAAACCACACAGCTGCAGGGCCTGGCGGAACCCTTCACAGAAGGAAGCTGGCCAGGTGTGTGTCTAGAGCTGGTGACGGTGGTGAACCAAGGAGCCCACTCTGTCTGAAGGGGACTGCCACCTCTTAGCTGCATCTAGTAATTACTATGTAGAAACATGGGCCCAGAATGACTAGATACCTAATTTTTTAATTCAAAAGAGGCCAAGTTTCTAGATTTTAATAGGGAATTTTTCCAGTTTTAAATGTTGGCAACTTAATCCAGTTTAAAACACCATGCAAAAAAAAAAAATGATAGAGTACTTTTTAAAATCATAAAAAAATAAAAATAAACCACCATGCAGGTCACGTGTGGACCTCTGCACTGTAGAAAACATGAAATTAACTTTGTTGCACAGAAGATTTTACTTTATGGGTGTTTCTACCAGAAAGCGAGTTCCCTCGTAGATGCACGCTGTATTATTTCACCACCCCAGTCCATTCTCTTTCTGTTTTGTGGACCTTCCTATCTTCGGGGATGACAGACTCAGGAAAACGCATTGTTCAGGTGAACTTCCGGCTCCTGGCCTTTGAAAGACTGGATCCTGAGGTGTGAAGTGGAGCAGCTGAGGGCAAGGTTCAGTGACCGCTTAGAGGCAGAACTCTCCATGATCCAGACAGTTCATAGTTCAGCCTTTCCATGTTCTCTGTCAGAAACACTGTGCCCTAGTTTAGATTCACAACCAAAGCCATATGTGCTCTACGGTCTGTGCCAGGTGCGACTCCCCTTACTTCTTAGGGGAATTTCAGACACCCAAGAAGGGGAGGCACTGCCTGCACACGACCACCTGGATCCCACAGTCACTGTTGAGCCAGATTTGCTGTAACACAGGTCTGGCCATCTCTCCATCCCTGTGTCCATTCATCAGTCCGCCTTCTCCTTCCCGCTGTTCGATTTCCAGGTCAGGATGCCACGGGGACTGTTGCAGAGAGCAGCAGTCAGTCCTCTTTGGTGCAGCTGAAACCCGGCACCATCTCGTTTTAGAAAAAAAAAAGCAGTTTGTTGACTCATGAAACTGAAGTGTCCCCAGAGCCACGGGCTTCCTGCACGATAGCCTCTGGGGACCCGGTGTCCGGAACCCCTGCCCTCTCTGTCGTCGCTCAGCCTTTCCCTGGTCAGCCTCACCGCGGGCGTGCTCACCCTGCTAGGCCGCACAAGAGGCTCCAGGCTCACGGTCCCCCTCACTTCATCCACCCCTGCCAGGAGGGCCAGCCGGATTCCCGGTGACCTGATAAGATGCCTGCTGACGGTCCTCTGACCAGGCTTGGGTCCCCTGCCTACTCCTCGAAGCCCACAGAACCCCGCAGCTGGAGGGTGGGGGGGGCTGGGCTCCACAAAGGAAAGCTGGAGGGCGCTCACTGGAACTGGGGCTGTGGGTGCCCCCTGAAGGATGAGGGGAGGGCCGGCCGAGCCACACAAAGTCAGTGCCCGATGCACGACCCACCCACGGCTCCCAGGTCCCCACGCCACTTGGGGATGTACTTTGTAAAATTTTTGGCTGCAACTCACTGCTTTCAGGATCTTAGTTCCCCAACCAGGGATTGAACTCGGGCCTCTGCAGTGAAATCGAGGCATCCTAACCACTGGACCACCAAGGAAGTCCCCAAGATGTAGTTTTTAGACATTCTTCTTCCTTCGAGGCCCTTTATGTTCTGTGGGCTGCAGAGCGAGGGCCTCAAGGCCAGCTGCCAGCAGCTCACAGCCTCCTGGGTTGGTGGGATTACCTCTCCCGCCCTCCTGCCTGCCTGCCTTCCCCAAATAGCAGTTCAGAGCCTGAGAACACACCCGTGACTAAAGCATGGCACCCACCGCCTGGGCGCTCAGGGTGGGGGCAAGAGGTAAAGTCACAGCTCGTAAAGTGCATGACAGTCTCTGTGGGGACAGGGCAAGTCTGAGAACTGCAGTCTGAGCTGAGACTGTCTTTCAGGGTCTGCTCCTCAGCTTGGGACCTGGAGACCATCCTCAAAGTGAGCAGGCTTTCCCGTGTGAGTGCGCATTAACCCAGCTCCCAGGGCACTATCACGGAAACCAGAAGGCTGGGTTCTTGATGTATGAAGAGCTCTGTAGCTGGCCAGGCAGCCAGGAGTCCCCTCCTGCCAGCCACTCCTCTCCCTGAGCTCAGAGCTGGATGAGCACGGAAGCTGCCGGGGACAGCCAGGGGACAGCACGCCCTGGTCCCAGGCCAAGTAGCCCCTCTTCCCTCCCAGAAGGGAGGGCTGGAAGCGGGTGGATGGGCCCGAGACTGTCCCCTGATGGCTCCAGGAAAACGGCGCCAGGCGTAGCCTTTTGAGGGAGTCGAAGGCTTGCAAGAACTCTTGGGGAAACAGACACATGGGTGAGAGAATAACCGTCCCAACCCCTTAGGCATCCCCCAGGGGTGACCTGGCCTTGCCTCCCGCCCAGCCCCCGTTTCTCCGGCCACTCTGGCTCACTGCACCGCCGCCAGATCTCAGGCAGCCAAGCTTGCTCCACCTCCAAGGGGCTCACTCTGGTCACTGCCCCCAGTGCCTTGGCCTGGCCACCTGCTTTTTGTCACGTAGGCCCTTGTTTCAGCGATCCTCATCTCTTCAGAGAGGCCTTTCCTTCCCCCCCGATCTGAGGGGTCCCCACCCACACCATCCTGCCACATTATTCCCATCACCCTGACTTCTGTGTAGCACTGGCCGTTTCCTGAACTGGTCTTGGCCCCCGGGCATTGCTGTGTCCGGCGTAGCGGGTCAGAGCCCCCACTCCGAGTCAGCTGGCCTGTGTTTGCATCCTGCTTGGGCAGGGCCCTTAACCTCATCGTCCCTCAGTTTTCTCCTGTGTAAGCGGGGCAGTGTGAGGTGCAAACTGGTTTCGTACTGTTGCTGTGTGGATTATCGAGTTACTGTCTGTAAAGCGCTTAGAACAGTGCCTGGGACATGGTAAGTACCACATAAGTATTTGCTGTTATTATGGCCTCAGTGCTTGAAACAGAGTAGGCGATTAGTGCATGTGTGCTGGAGGAATTAGACCTTCGTGGTTGCTGGGCTGAGAGCACTGGCCTGGTGGGAGGCAGCCCTGGTTTTGATGTCTGCCACCCATGCCGCCCGGCCCCTGGAGCACGCTGGAAGTGCTGCGGACTTTTGGCACTTCCTCAGATGTTGCAGATCTGAGTGGAGGCTGGCGACCGTCACAGACGGTACTCTGGTGGCCTGGTGACAAGGGGCAAAGCACAGGTCAAGCCCAGGAGCACATGGGCCCTTTGGGGGCCATGGCTCCAGCTGCCCTGACCAAGAAGGCTGGGATGTCCGTCATGTGTTTAAGCAGAAGCCTGCCTTCTGTCTCTGCTCAAGATAAAGGCTCCATTCTCATGGTGGAAAACCAGGCCACTGCTCACAGCTCCTTGTGGAGTGGACCTTTCACTGCTCCACCCACAGTGTCGATCAGCAGGTACTTTAAATGGAAGACTAGACACCATCTTCTGTAGCTCCTTCAGCTGCACTGTGTCCCGCTTTGTTACACTGAATAGGCTGACTTTGTTTTACCCTGTGGACCAGGGGTTAAAGCATTACAGAGTTGCCCCTTCCTTTTCTCTTCTCCACAGTTTTGCATTTGGCTCCCTGATTTCTGCCGTTGATCCAGTAGCCACTATTGCTATTTTCAACGCCCTTCATGTGGACCCAGTGCTCAACATGCTGGTGTTTGGAGAGAGCATTCTCAATGACGCAGTCTCCATTGTCCTGACCAAGTAAGTGTGCTTTCTTCAAGCCGCTGAACTAAAGTGCCTCATGTCGGAGGCAGATAGCTCCATACAGCTGCATGTACAGCTGCTGGTCCTGTGGCTGATTGGTTCACTGCTTCTCCATCCTTCTGTCCTGACAAACCTTCCTGTGCCCCAGAACTATTGTCAAGGCCCAGGGTGATTAGAGGAGAATCCGCCCTGTAGGACCTACCTCTTAGCAGTGCTTTTATTTATTTGTTTAGACCTTGCCACATAGCATAGGGGATCTTAGCTCCCCGACCAGGGGTCGAACCCGTGCCTTCTGCATTGAAAGCAGAGTCTGAACCACTGGACCACCAGGCAGGTCCTTAGCAGTGCTTTTAAATTAAGCCCAACTTGTCATCTGCATCACCGGGGTGCTTATTAAATGTCACATTCCCAGGCGACACCCTCGGAGCTCCTGATTCAGTAGGTCTGGGATGAGTCCCCAGAGGACAGCTGAGCAGCCAGTTGAGGGATCAGTATTTGGACAGGATTATTCCAGATGAAAACAGTCAGCAGTGGCCTTGTTCTTCCACTGTGAGCCTGTGCAGGGCGCCGGCTTTTCGCCACTATAAGATAAGGTAATGATACTGATGGACATCCTGCCTTAAGCTGCTCTAGTGTGAAGGCTGCTTTGGAAGCTGTGGGGTGTTTTCAGTTGTTCATTGGTATTACTGCCTGTGTTGATAGTAGCTGTGAAGGTGAGTCATGAAATGTCAGGAAGTCTCTGTGGTTACTTCCCTGGTGGTCCAGTGGCTAAGACTCCTTGCTTCCAAGGCAGGGGGCCTGGGTTCAATCCCTGGTCAAGGGAACTAGATCCCGCATGCAATAACTAAAGATTCTGGATGCCACACCTAAGACCCAGCACAGCCAAATAAATAATAATAAATATTTTTTTTAAAGTCACTGGGCAAAGGGTCTGAGTTCATCTCGTGCATTTATTGGATGCGGGGCTGTTTCCTTGCCCTAGCACTCGGCAGCTGTGGTGTTTGTTAACAGGTATGGCTAGGAGAGCCCGACAGTTCTACCAAAACCCAGAGAAGGTGCAGACAGTCAAAACTGCTGGAGAAGAGAGCCCTGTGCAGGGCATCAGAGATGAGCCAAGAGGATTTTAGGGGCCGCTGTGTATCCTGTTAAAGATCAGTTTCTCCTTTTTCTGAGTTTGGACTTCCTTTCTTTGTTGTGGGATTCCTTGCAAAGCATAACCACTCAGTGGTTTTCTTAAAAGCCTCATTATAGACTACATTCACAATTCTTGTGTTGGAATAAAAGGATATTTTTATAGTGGGAAGAGCCCAGATCCTGGAGTCAGACTGACCTGGGTTCAAGTCCCAGTGATGGCTACTCATAGCTGTTTGACCCTGAGTCAGCTCTTTGACCGCTTTGAGCCACTGGTGTCTCAACATTAAAGTAAGGGTGATAATGCCTCAGCCTAGGGTTCAAGTTGAGGATTGACTAGGTAAATACACTATGTGAAAAGCATCTGCCATTAGGGGACTTCCCTGGTGTTCCAGTGGTTAAGAGCCTGCCTTCCAATGCAGGGGATGTGGGTTTGATTCCTGATTGGGGAACTAAGATCCCACATGACACAAGATAACAAAGCTTACGTGCCCACACACCACAGCTCGAGAGAAGCTAAGACCCAATACAGCCACAAATAAATAAACGTTTTTTAAAAACAGAAGCATCTGCCATCAGTTCATGTGAGATCCTTTCATCTTCTGCCTTTGTCCCCCAGCTGTTGTTTCTTGTTTGTCTGTTTTTGTCCTCCTTTTGCAGGAAGAACTTACCAAATGTTGTTTAATTGAAAGAGGGGCTCACCAGACCTTAAACAAAACAGAAATACATGTATATATTCTAAAATAATACATATATTCTGCATATAAAATTTAGAAAACTCCAAAAGGAAAAAGAAAAAAAAAGAAAACAATACATGCATTGTAACTCCCAAGAGATAATTACAGTTAACAGTTTGGTAGATGTATCAGTTCATTTCAGTCTCTCAGTAGTGTCCAACTCTTTGCGACCCCATGAACCGCAGCACGCCAGGCTTCTCTGTCCATCACCAACTGCCGGAGTCTACCCAAACCCATGTCCATTGAGTCGGTGATGCCATCCAACCATCTCATCCTCTGTCGTCCCCTTCTCCTCCTGCCCTCAATCTTTCCCAGCATCAGGTCTTTTTAAATTGTGTTCTATTTAGATGGCTATATACTGTATTGTAATGTTTCCATTAAACAGAGTCGATAAAATAGTCTTCTATAACATCATTTTACCAGTTGTAGAGTGTTCCTTCTATGGATTTACCACGATCTCTTTGACCAGTTCCCTATTATTGGCTTTTTTAACGTTTAGCTTAAAACTTTTTATAGCTTTGTTAGGAGATTATCATATACCATGCTGTGAGACCTTTAAAAAATAACCTGATGGCAATAATTTTTTTTTAAGATCTGCTTTGAAAACTGCTTAGCTTTCTGGTCTTTACTTTTATCTTGAGTCCTGGCTGTGCATTTGAATATTTGTGATAAAGAGTTTTGCCAAAGGACTTCCCTGCTGGTCCAGTAGATAAGGATCTGCCTTTCAGTGCAGGACACGTGGGTTCGACCCCTGGCCAGGGAACCAAGATCCCATATACTCAGGAGCACACGCACTGCAGCAAGGAGCCCGTGTGCCGCAGCTAAGACCCGACGCAGCCATGAATGAATAATTAAAAAAAAAAAAGTTGCCTGAATTGGAGGTGACATCATGAGTTATTTTTATAGATTAGGAGCTAAACTCAACTAATTTGTCTCTGATTTATTTTTTTCCTAAATCTCTCGAGGTAGAATCTTAGTTCTGAGCTTTTCCAGGTCTCTTTGCCACAAAAAAAGGCCAAAGCTTAGGAGATACTTTCTTTTTTTAAATGAGAAAGGAGAGAGTCACTGTAACTAGCCACACATTCTTTCTGGAAAAGTACTTTTGAAGGCCAGGATCACCTCTGATGACAGTTCCCAGAATTGGATCAGTGGGCCACATGCATAGGTCGTTTCCAGCTTCACCTCCTCTGATGCTGGTGCACAGGTTGGGGCAGGAGTCACTGACCTGCATCAGTCTCTCTGACTGTGAGCCCACTGGCATTTTCAGGTAGAGGAGGGAGGTAGGGGAGAGGGGGCGTGGCAGGCCTGCCTTGTGTCTGCTTGTAGGAGGGAGGTGTTGTCAGCTTCCCTTGGTTACAAGGAAGAATCACATCTTGTTTTTAATGTATGCTTCATAAATGACCGTTTTCAGAGTGATCTGATGATGATCCATTTATCTTTGTAACCGAAGATGTTGATGAACTACCCCCTTTTTTAAATATTTTCACTTTCATAAATGCCAGAAAAGCTAAGTATCTCCTGTTTCCTTCATTAACCTTAATTAAATTATTTTTAGCTTTGATTTGTTGCTGTGACAGCCTATTCTTAAAATAATTGCTGTAGAAACCTTTGTTCTTTCCAGCTGCAGCTAAAGCTCATGAAATGGATCCTGAATCAGTATTATTTTTTTATTCTTTAAGGTGTGAGAAACATGGCCTGAAGAAAAATAAAATGCACAAAATCTTCAGGCCAGAAAAGATCTGAATTCTCTCTTCGTTTATCCTTAGTTCAGAAACCACTGGCCTTGGCCTGGGGTCTGCTGTTAACCATTGTTGTGACCTCACCCATTAGCCACTGTCTTTGGACCTCAGCCTCCTTTGCATGAAAAGAAAGCAGTGACACCAGCCAGCATCCTAGCTGTGGTCATGAAATGGGGTGAGGGCAGGACACTACTCATGTCATCCATGGATCCACTTGAGAGTTAGAGGTGCCGTTTGCCTTCAAAAGCACTTTCCCAATAAGAACCCTGTTGGTTCCCAGCATTCCCCTCGGTGGGGTGTTAACCCATGATCTGCTGGGAAAGAATAGGAATGGGGGTGATTGGAGTGAGTTTGGAAAACATTTATGTGAGAAAAGTTAGTTTTCTTTTTTTGCAGGACTTTTTAAAACCTTTACTATGTTATATTGTGCTATGAATCACCACAAAAGGCTGAGGTTATCTGACCAAGCCATCCTTTTATCAGAGATTATCCTGCCCTTTTTTTTTTTAACTGGCTGTACCACACAACTTGTGGGATTTTGGTTCCCTGGTCGGGGATTGAGCCCCAGGTCCTCAGCAGTGCGAGCCCGGAGTCCTGGCCACCGGGCCGCCTGGGACTTCCTGAGATGATCCTGCTTTAAAGTTATGCCAGTTTGGGGCTTCCCTGGTGGCTCAGTGGTAAAGAAAGTGCCGCCAGTGCAGGAGACCCGGGTTCAATCCGTGGTCTGGGAGGCCGTGCGCCACAGCTGTTGAGCCTGTGCTCTGGAGCCCGGGAGCCACAACTGCTGAAGCCTGTGAGCCCAGAGCCTGTGTCCGCACTGAGCAGCCCCGCCCCACAGCTGGAGAGTTGCCCCAGCTTGCAGCTAGAGAAAAGCCCCACGGCAACGAAGACCCAGCCCAGCGAAAAAGAAACACCTCCACCCCCCCCCCCCCCAAAACGTTATACCAACTCAGGACTTCCCTGGGCGTCCAGGGGTCAGGAATCCACCTGCCAGTGCAGAGGATGCAGGTTCGATCCCTGGTCCGGGAAGATCTCCCATGCTGCGGGGCAACTCAAGCCCGGGCACCACAGCTACTGAGGCCCACTTACCCTGGAGCCCGGGCTCTGCAACAGGAGCAGCCACCACAGTGAGGAGCCCGCCGCCACGCTAGGGAGGAGTCCCTGCTCGCACGGCCAGAAACAAATAAAAAGAAAAAACAGCTCTTAAATTAACCGTACCAGTTCATGAAGCACTGATGAATGAGGCCAAATGTTACTCTAGACAAGTCTTTGTTTTGTTCACTGCTTCAGCAAAAGTTTGTTGAGTGTGTGCTGGGCTCTGCGCTAGGGCCTGGACATACGGCAGTGAGTAAGGTGGGCACAGGCGTGGTCCTCATGGATGATTCACTAGTTCGGCGTGCTGTGGAGGGCACATTAGGCGCCAGGAGAGCCTATAAGTGGGCCGGCCTGTGGGGAGGCAGATGTCCCTGAGGGAGGGTCACTGACCCTGGGTTCTGAGAACAAACCAGAGTCACCTGGAGCCCGGGAAGAATGGCTGTGACCTGCAGGGAGGTGCCGGTGGCAGTGGGGCCCGGCCTGAGTAGGAGGAGGTGAGGTCAGAGGTGTGGTGGGCAGGATCAGGGCCAGACTGGGTTTCCTCTTAAAAGCAGCGGGAGACTGAGGATGGGTTTTGATCGGGCCAGTAACCTGATTGGGGCTTCCCAGGTGGCTCAGCAGGAAGGAATCCCCCTGCAGTGCAAGAGACCTGGGTTCGATCCCTGGGTCAGGAAGATCCCCTGGAGAAGAGAATGGCAATCACTTCAGTGTTCTTGCCTGGAATCCCACGGACAGAGACTAGCCTGGTGGGCCACAGGCTACAGTCCTTGGGGTCGCAAAGAAGGGACATGACTGGATGACTAACACACAGTAACCTGATCAGATGTGCATTTTCAAGGGATAATTCAGGCCCCTGAGTGTTGGGTTCTCCTAGAAAGAGCAGGATGTTTATGTGCAAGGATCAGAGAGGCAGAAGCCCTGGACTGGAGGAGGATGGCAGAGGGAGGGAGGGAAGTGGATGGATTTGAGAGAAGGTGTAATCAGCAGGAGGAAGATACTTAAAAGGAATAAACATTTTAATGGTAAAACAGTTTTACCTTTGGGGATGAAACCAACATTTGAATGTAATGACTGCTGACATTTTTCTTTGCTGTCTAGTAGTGAAGGGGAAGTCCTTTCCATTCTTCCTGCTAACCCCTTCCAGGCCCCACTCTGGGCCTTACCCACAGACATGTCTTCTTGAGGCGGCTCCATTCTACCTGGCTTCATGCCACAGCCTCAGTTTCAGGTTTGTACCTCACAGGAGCCCCACTCCCCCACCCCCACTCCATCCTGAAAACGCTCCTGTGACCCCTCCGGGCCTTCCGGATAAAAGACCAGCTCCTTAGCTGGGCTCGATCCCTGGATCGGGAAGATTCCCCTGGAGGAGGTCATAGCAACCCACTCGAGTGTTCTTGCCTGGAGAATCCCATGGACAGAGGAGCCCGACGGGCTGCAGTCCTCGGGGCCACAGAATCGGACACAGCTGAGCGACTAGGCACAGCACCTGCGTGCTGCTGGTGCCTGGAGGCTCCCTGCCTCCTCACGCGCTCTTCCCCCTGCCCTGAGTGCGTTCCCTCATTTCTTCACCTCGCTAACTCTTCTTTAGCCTAAGTCGAAACCTAGCCCATGTGTCATAGAGAACCTGCTCCGGCCCCCACCTGTCTGAGTCAGGTGCCGCCGTGTGTCTCCTCTGCTCTCTCCTGACGTTGACTGAAGATGATGCCCAGCCTGAGAGCTGCGAGTTCAGTTTTATTTGGAGCAAAATGAGGACTGCAGCCCAGGAGACGGCACCTCAGCCAGCTCTGAGAAACTGCTCCAAAGAGGCAGTGGAGGGGAAAAATCTCAAAAAAGAGGCACTGGGGGAAGGTCAGCTTATATGATTTTGGTGAAAGGAGCATTCAGTGCAGTCGAGCACTCACTTGACAAAAGGTTTTCTGCTAGTCACGAGGAGCTGATGTCACCATGAAGGGATTTAGTGCTCCAGATACGAGGAGATGCAAGGATTGGGATCATGAAATCAGTTCCTGAAAATAACTATCTGAAGACCTGTTCCACCAGTTTCCCTGGAGCACAAAGTGCCTCATTCTCCACCCTGAAGTCCCTGCAGGGGGTGTGTGTTGCGGGTCAGCAGTGCAGGGTTCCGTCTGCACAGAGGCAGATGGCAAATGCCCTTGGCAAGCGCCCGTTTGTAGTTGACATGAGATGGTCCTAGCTCCGTCTTTGTGTGCATGTATCGGTGTCTCTTATTTTTGGCTGCGCTGGGTGTTAGTTTGTCTCATGGGATCTTTCTTGCGGCATGAGAACTCTTAGTTGAATGTAGTTCCCTGACCAGGGATGAAACCCGGGTCCCCTGCATTGGGAGCTTGGAGTCTTGGCCACTGGTCCACCAGGGACGTGCCCCCATCTGTTTTCTCCTTTATTAGACTACTTGACTCCCTAAGGGCAGGGACCTGCTCTTACCTCTGGACCCCCAGAAACTAACACAGTGCCTGGAACAAAGTAGATGAACAAATGTTTGGCTAACAGGTTGAAGGATGGAATGAATGAATGAGAGATTAAGCAAGAAGTTAAGTTTTGAGTCCTAAGTTAATTTCTAATAACTTTGTCTATAACATTTTAACTTCTTTTATTTCCTAGCACAGCTGAAGGTTTAACAAGAAAAAATATGTCAGATGTCAGTGGGTGGCAGACGTTTTTACAAGCCCTTGGCTACTTCCTCAAAATGTTCTTTGGCTCTGCGGCACTTGGCACCCTCACTGGCTTAATATCTGCATTGATATCCTTTTAATATGATGAACACACGTGGCCAGGAAGGTTATTCCTAATTACATCCATCTCTTGTCATTTTCTCCAGTTCCTTAAGAGGACCAATTGTAGACTAAAGTCATATTTAATGAGTGTTTTTATGCTTAGTTTTGGTTTGAAGAGCACTTTAAACTCAAGGATTTTAAAATTTAACACGTGAAATGTAGCATGTCACTTTTCAGAGCTTAAAAAAACATGTACATGGTTGAATATCAAATCTGATTTTGGGGTCTCCTCAGTTCCCAGGGTATGAAAACTGCATTCAGATGAATTTTATTTTCCACCATCTCACTTTTCACATTAAGAAAATCGGAAATTAATTTCCTTTGAAAATGTCAAATTGAGACGATCTCTACCCCACTGAAAGTATTTATCTGGATGAACCAGGAAAGAGACTTTCAAAATGAGCTCTATCTAAGTTATTCGCACTGATTTTGTGGCTTAACAATCCACAAGCTCTTCCAGCCAGAGAAACAAACTCGTTAAGGCCACTGACACCTTTATTGCTGTAGAAAATTTGTCGTGTTTAAAACAGAAACAGGCCCCAGACCATTCCTGTGTGCGCCTGAGCCTGTGTGCATCTCGGGGAGATGGCCACCTGGCCTTCCTCCATGAGCAGTCTGCCTCGCAGACGGACAGAAAAGCGGCTTCTGCCTCAGACAGGCACGTGTGTCTGCCGTCCTGTTGAATTTTCCCTTCAGTTCCTACGTCCAGAAGTCTCAAGGCGCTGTTGAGTCGGCTGACAGCTTCTCATATTGTACCAATAAACAGAGTGGAAAAGAAGACTTTTTCCAGTTCAGTATTTTCCTCTGCATTTATCGCTTTCTTTAGAAGGGTGGAGGAGGGGGAGAGCCTCTGCCTTACTGAAGCTGAGTAGACGGGTGCTGTGGGCGCCAGCACCGGCCTGCCAGCGACAGGTGAGCACGTGGAAGACTCTCCTGTCACGGGAGCGTGGGTTTATAAAGGTCCGGGGGCAGGAGAGAAGTCCGGCAGCAGTGCACTGGTCCCCGTGGTTCTGGGAACCCCGTAGTGACCTCGTCTGGTGGAGGGGGAGGCGTGGAGGGGGTCGTGGCCCCGGGAGCGCCTGGCAGAGTGCGCTGTGCTCAGTCTGTCTGCCGGCCCGGCTCTGCCCCTGCTGCTCCCGGGCCCTCCAAGTCGGCCTTTCCAAAGGAGTTGACTTGGGTGACTTTAGTGTTCCCCTGTTGCTTGTCTCAGGAATTTACATCTCTCAGTATTCTGTTAGATTCCCTTCCTTAAAACAGGAGTCCTCCCAACTGAGGAAAAAGTCTGTAATGACAGATTTTTCACTCGTTACCTTGAGGTGTTCCCACATCTTTGTATCCAGTGTTTACCTTTTCTATTTGGAAGGCCGTGGTTTTGTGACTTCTCTAGATCACCCGTAAGGGTCCTTGGGTTCTTTTTCCTTGACCGTTGTCATTTACGTGCTGAAGCACATTGACCTGAGGAAAACGCCTTCCTTGGAGTTTGGCATGATGATCATCTTTGCCTACCTTCCATACGGGCTCGCAGAAGGGATCTCGCTCTCGGGTAAGCGATGGAGGGCCTTGGATTGCGGGGGTGGACAGCGCGTTATCCAGCCTGGAGAAAGAGCTTCTGTCACTTGGGTCACTTTCAGTCATAAGACACGACTCACAAGAGCGTGAGCAATAAAAAGGGCTTCCTGGATCTCTAGGGAGAGTCTGGATTTAGACCTGGCTGGATGCAGGAACTCAAGTGTTCCCGTGGTCACCTTTTTCTCTTTACCGCCATCCTGTAGCAGAGATCAAAATATCTCTTCCCAGGTTGCCTCTTTCTCAAAACAAGCCCTCTGAAAGGCCTTCACTCAAAGCATGGGGTCTGACTGCCAAGGGCAGTCACCGGGTGCTGTCACCCACTGGTCTGCATTCTTTCACTGTGGTTTTGCCTTTTCCAGAATATAAATGTCATATGAAGGGAATCATGTAGTATGTAGTCTTTTGTGACTTATTTTTTTCAGCTCTCATAATGTTCTTGAGAGACACTACGTTTTTGCTGTATCCATAGTTTATACGTTCTTCTGAGCTGTTTTTTCCATTCACCATCTGAAGGACATTTGGGGTTTTCCAGACTTTGACTGTTAATGTGTATACGTCCATTAATCTTAGATAAATACTTAGAAGTAAATTTGCCTGGTTTTACAGTAGGTGTACACTTTACTTTATCAGAAACTGCCAGGTGTTTTACAAAGTGACTGGACCATTTTGCATTCCCACCAGAATGTATGGAAGAGTTTCAGCTGCTTCACATCCTCACCAATACTTCATTTTAATTTTAAAAGCTAGCCATGTTGATGTAGGTATGTGGCAATTTGATTTTGATGTGCCTCGATATAATTTGTCTCATGTTCCTCTTGGGATTTCTTGAACTTCATGGGTTTATAGTTTATGTAAAGTTTATGGCTTTTATCAAATTTAGTACATTTCTGTTGGTTTCTTGAAATTTTTTTCTGTTCCTCCTCTGCTGTGGAACAGAATCCTCTCCTTCAGGCCAGTGTCTGGTGTCGTGCATGGTGGGTTCTCTGAGAAGGTCTTGCCATGGGGGAAGGAGCGCGCAGACTCTGGCTGTTCTCGCTGGAGAAGCCTGTAAGCCTTGGGGCCTCGCTCGTTTCGAATGCCAGGCCGGTCCCCCTGGATAACTCCGTCCCGGTCCTGCCGCCCCATGCTCCCCTTGTCTTTTGGCTGTTCCGTGAACACTGCCTGTGAGTCACTTGGCTCCAGTGACTCACTGTTTTCACACGGGTTTTTCTAAATCGTGTCCCACCCCTCGAGAGGAACACTGAGTACCTATTGGCAAAGATACATTTCATGCGTCCTTTGATAATCTGTGATTAAAACAAGGAGGTGTTTTTCTTGTCCTTTCTTCAGAGAGGCAGTGTTTTCCGTTCGCAGGAGTTTCGTTTCCTTAGGGACTTGTGCTCCGCACGCTGATGGGGCCGAAGAGAGCCAAGAGCACGCTCGTTCACCTCTGAGTAGCAGGCTGGCTCTGCCCATGCTTTGTGGGTGGGATGTTTGTCACGCAGGGTTTTCAGAGAAGAGGGAACCGGCCCGTTACTGTAAAAGCAGCACCGGGAAGGGCGACCTCAGGGCTGCCGCTCCTTTCTCTTTGTGCTCTGCCCGTCCTGTCCCAGAGGCCACGCTCCCTGTGTAAATCTGTGTGTTTAGAACGCAGCAGTTAAGGGCGCCAGACAGACCTGTTTGGAATCGTACCCCCACCCCTCATTAGCTGTGTGATCTCAGACAGCAGACTGAACCAGTGTGAGCTTCCACTTCCATATGTGAAGTGGAGGATATGATCATACCAGTGCCCCCCGGACTTCCCTGGTGGTGCAGGAGGTACGAATCTGCCTGCTAACTCAGGACATGTCAGTCCCTGGTCCAGGAAGCTTCCGCATGCCGCGGAGCAGCTAAGCCCGCGCGCGCCACAGTTACTGAGCCCGAGCTCTAGAACCCATGAGCTTCTAACTGCTGAGCTGGAGTTTCGCAACCACTGAAGCCCGGATGCTCTAGGGCCCGTGAGCTGCAGCTGCTGAATCCCTAGCACCTGGAGCCTACGCACGCAACGAGGAGTCGTCCCCGCTCGCTGCAAGTAGAGAAAACCCGAAGGAAGGAACGGAGATTCAGTGCAGCCATAGATAGATAATTTTTAAAAAAGAAACGACGTGAAACAGAGAAATCAGAGTGACGTAATAGAGCAGCAGCGGGCCAGGAGCATCCCTAGGCGGGGGTCGGGAAGCTGTCCTCAAAGTGGTGCCGTGCGTGGGGCTGAGACCCGCGTTGGGAGAGGGAGCCGGCCGCAGGAGGTTCCAGGGAAGGCGGGGTCGGCAGCTGAGGCAGCAGAAGCCGCAGGTCCCAGGTGGCGGGGTGGAGCTGGGCTCGCTCCAGGAAGAGCAGGAAGACGGGGGCTGGGCCAGAGGGGCAGATGCCCAACCCGCACAGGATTCTCAGACTGGGAAAGAAGTTGGGATTCTGGTATACAGGCAAAGCCAAGTGTTGAAGGACTTTTTAAAAACCACTGTGCTACGAATACGTGCCATATCTGTAACATGACCCTGTTTATTACTTTTTAGAGAGAGAGAAGCTTTACAACAGCATGATAAAAGAGCTGGCAGTCTGCACGTCTAGCTGTTAATAGTAGTTGCCTGTGGGCAGGTGATGTGAATGAATAGTCTGTTTTACTGTTCACCTCTGTGTTCAGATGTTATAGTGCAATATGTTTCTGATTGGGTCTTTAGCAAAACTGACTCGGGCTTCACTCGGCCTTAGCCTTCAAGACGCGCAGTGTGTTTTACCCACTGTAAAGGTCAGTGCAGTAGAACTTACACACGATACTCTTTCAACTCTTGCCTTTTGGATTTGAATCCCTTTATTCCTCAATTACATTCGAAACCATGGGTTTAACTGAGACTAGAAATGGATTTCCTCCCACCTCCCTCCATCTCTCCCGTCCTTCCTTTTATGAGGCTGACCATTTGCTGCACTGCTGTCCACTTCCTTAAATGCTGCCTTCTGAAAGACGTGAACGTGTCAGGATTTTTCATTCCAGGTCTTGTTTTAAGTTCCCAGGTCTTTTATCTCCAGGACAGAGCCCGCTGGCACCGTCTTCCCCTTCAGTGTCTTTGAGCAGCTGCAGTGGGTGAGGGTCTTCTGGTTGGTGATGTCATCTGGGCTTCAGGAGGGCACGTGCGCTGGCCCTGGGGCCTTGGCACCCACTGCTGACCCTGACTCTCCTTCAGCCCCCGGAACTTGGGAGGCCCCCTGACCCCGGACTGGACAGGTGTGGGCCATGGCTGGCTGTCCACTCTTCTCTTGGCCAGAGAGCCCATTTCTATATGGTCCAAAGTCAGCCCCCAAATAGGGTTTATCTGCACAGAGAGTTTTAAACATTTGAGTTAGTTGCTGTCATTAAAAGTTGGACGATTTCTGGGAATTCCTGGAGGTCCAGTGGTTAGGACCCAGTGTTTTCACTGCAGGGGTGTGGGTTTAATACCTGGTTGGAGAACTAGATCCACAGGCTGTGTGGTGCAGCAAAAGAAGGAAAAACGTTGGAAGATTTCCTAAGAAGCAGATTTCTGGCATCTCAAAAACCAGAAGGAGAGGAAGACTGGTCGGCACTCGGCCCCCATCCGCAGAGCTGCTGTCATCCCTTTATAGATGGGCCTGTGCCTTCTTTCCACACGTGCCACACACCCACTTACTGTTTTAATCTTTATTTTTATTGTCTGGCCCCTGAGTTTGGGTTTCTGACCCCTGGTCTAGTGCACCAGACTCATGTGGCCAGCCTGACCCCTTCTGCACTGAGCCTGTCTCCTTGTTTCCCAGGAGGCAGTGGCCTCAGTCCCAAGGGATTTTCCACATTTCACTGTCAGATCTGACTTCCTGGAGCCTTAGACTTTCTGCAAAGTGAAAGTATTAGTTGCTCAGTTCAGTTCAGTTCAGTCGCTCAGTCGAGTCTGACTCTTTGCGACCCCATGAACCACAGCATGCCAGGCCTCCCTGTCCGTCAGGAACTGCTGGAGTCTACCCAAACCCATGTCCATCGAGTCAGTGATGCCATCCGACTCATCCAACTCATCCTCTGTCGTCTCCTTCTCCTCCTGCCCTCAGTCTTTCCCAGCATCAGGGTCTTTTCAAATGAGTCAGCTCTTCACATCAGGTGGCCAAAGTATTGGAGTTTCAGCTTCAGCATCAGTCCTTCCAGTGAACACCCAGGACTGATCTCCTTTAGGATGGGCTGGTTGGATTTCCTTGCAGTCCAAGGGACTCTCAAGAGTCTTCTCCAACACCACAGTTCAAAAGCATCAATTCTTTGGCACTCAGCTTTCTTTATAGTCCAACTCTCACATCCATACGTGACTACTGGAAAAACCATAGCCTTGACTAGATGGACCTTTGTTGACAAAGTAATGTCTCTGCTTTTTAATATGCTGTCTAGGTTGGTCATAACTCTCCTTCCAAGGAGTAAGTGTCTTTTAATTTCATGGCTGCAGTCACCATCTGCAGTGATTTTGGAGCCGAAGAAAATAAAGTCTGACACTGTTTCCACTGTTTCCCCATCTATTAGTTGCTCAGTTGTCTCCAGCTCTACAATCCCATGGACTGTAGCCCACCAGGCTCCTCTGTCCATGGAATTCTCCAGGCAAGAATACTGGAGTGTGTAGTCATTCACTTTTCCAGGGGATCTTCCTGACCCAAGGATCAGATCCAGGTCTCCTGCACTGCAGGCAGACTCTTTGCCATCTGAGCCGCCAGGGAAGCCCGAGTGTGGGACTTTGTGGAGTGGCTGTTTAATGTCGGGCCTCCCGAGGACCGTGGCCACCTTTGTGGGCAGAATGACAGTATGGGCGGAAGCCCACTCCTGTCACAGTTTACGTGGTTGTGATTCACAGCTTACATGGTTCAGGCTCCTCTGGGGTTGACATTTCCTTCAGGGTGAGAACCCCCAAGTCTCGGCTTTGCAGTAAATTTGCAGCGAACCCTTCTTGAAGCTGGCTAGAGAAACAAAGCCCTTTGAGAAGCCAGAACCGTCTAGCACTGGATTGTGCTGAAGAAAAAGAGACCCTTGGGGGCAGTTCCACAGAAGCTGTAGTGAGCTGTGCCGTGTGCCTCCCCCGGCCTCCGCGGTCTGGGCTGTCCCTCTCTTCCACCTTACGTTGCCTGTGGTGTCCACGGTCTGGGTGCAGAGTCAGGAAGAAGCTCTTCGGGTGCTCGCCTGCAGGAACTTACCAAGAGGAGCAGGTGAATCGAGGGGACAGTCGGAGGTTTTGTTGTCGTGTCTTATCTAATGGAGCAGAGGCTCAGAATAGCTCCTGACTTCCAGAGTCTTCTCACTGCTGTCAAGTCGCAAGTAAAAACGTCTGCCACCCTCTCCTTTCCCTTCTCCAAGCTCGGCAGGGGTGGCTCGTGGGCAGCGCTGCTGGAGTTTCCCATCCCTGCCTCCTTTTGGGGCGACAAAGAGCAGACAGGAGTTTGCTGTTTCCTAAAAGGGCCAGGAGATGAAATGTTCCAGCTTCTGCTCTCTCTCTGGCCAGCAAATACCTTTTCGGTGCCACGAAGAGTGGGGTTTTCCTATATTTTGTAAAGTATCGTTTATACAGCAAGCTTACCAGTTGAAACATCTCCAATGCAGTTCTGTGTTTTTTCACTCATTTTTAACTGGAAAGTTAGCTGGTAATCTGTTTCTACAAAATGGCAGAAGTGAGTTACGTTTTTGCTTATAGGGTTTGACTTGGAATTCATGTATCTTGGCAGCTTGTTTAAAGGCTTTGTAAAAATCTCAGCTTCTTTACATGAAATAAAGACCTCTTTGCTGCTGCCTGGCCAGGAAAACACACAGAGGAAACCTGTGTTAAGTGGCTTCAGCAGTGATTAGGGCAGTGGACAAAAGCTGAAACTCACATGCTCAGAGCGCAAGCAAAGTTGTAGATGCTCTCATGGAGACCGTTAAAGAAAAAACACATCACTTGAAAAAGAAAAACATCTTTCTTTTCATATTATAAGGTTAATTCATGGTGACTGTGGGAAAATTCAAAATTACAGTATGACAGGGACTTCCCTGGTAGTCCAGTGGTTAAGAATCTGCCTTGCAATGCAGGAGACCTGGGTTTGGTCCCTGATCGGGGAAGTTAGAGCCCATGTGCCACTAAGCCGCTGAGCCTGCGCGCCTTAGCTCGAGGGTCTGTGTGCCACAACAGAAGGGCCACGTGATGTGCTGAAGATCCTAGGGGTCACAGCTAAGACCCAGTGGAGCCAAATAAACACGTACTGTTTGAAAAATTAAAGTACAGCAAAGTAAAAATCCACCCATTCTTTATACCCAGGTTCTTATGTTCCCTTTCTGCCCCAAGAGTGATACCCGCCCCCCTTCTATCCACTCACGACAGTGACAGCCCACACCTGCTCCACCCTGGGCTTGTGACGGGCACTTGGCGCGGCTGCTCTTCGTTACCCTCCTAAGAGTTCCATGAGCGGGTTCGATTAGTCCCACTGTACAGTTGGCAACACTGAGGCTTGGGGAGGGGAAGAAACTTGACCCAAGGTCGCCCAGCTGGTAATGAAGCTGCCAGAGAGCTGGGCCCATAACATTCCTCCGGGAAGCTTCAGGTACTATTTTCTTCTCGTTTTTCTTAAAACACCTAGTACTCGAGGCTGCGGGACCTGCAGGAAGTGTGAGGCGTGATTTGCGTGTCACATGGCAGGTGCTTGTCTGCTCTGTTCATGGCTGTGCACTCTGCCCTCTGTCCCCCTCCAGGCATCATGGCCATCCTGTTCTCTGGCATTGTGATGTCACACTACACGCACCACAACCTGTCCCCGGTCACCCAGATCCTCATGCAGCAAACCCTGCGGACCGTGGCCTTCTTGTGCGGTGAGTTCAGCCTCTGTGCAGTCCCGTGCGGGCCTCCCAGAGCTGCTTGTCCTTCCTGCCTGTGTTCCAGGAGTCCCTTGAGATCTTCCCTGGCAGAAGAGGCAGCATGATCCCTCCGGGCCAGATACCGCACTCCCTTATCTCTTGTTAGTTACTCTGGCTCTCACATTCCATTAAGAGTTCTAATATCTAACAGGTGGAACTTTTGATTCCTATAACTTTAAGACCAAAAATAGTGAGAACTGCTATAATTATGAGTATTTGAGACGTGTACATTTACCATATGTGAAAGTGACATTTCCATAAATCTATTCCTTGGAACTGAGATTGATAAGAGTTAGGTGAAAAGAAGACTCCATGGGATTTCTGTAGTGGTTCAGTGGTTAAGACTCCGTGCTTCCACTACATGGGACAAGGTTCGATCCCTGGTCGGGAAAGTTCCACGTGCTTCAAGGTACGGCCAAAAAATGAAAAAAGACTGTAGTCAAAAGAGAGTTTGAGAAATCCTGGGGTAAGGAAAGTTTAACAGGGACTTCCCTGGTGGTTCAGTCCACCTTCCAGTGTAGGGGACTTGGGTGAGATCCCTGGTCGGGGAACTAAGACCTTTATGTCACCTAGCAGCTCAGTCCATGCACCGTGACTCGGGGTCCTGCGCGACGCAGTGAGGAGCTCATGTGCCGCAGCGGAGACCCGACACAGCCAGAGGAATAAATATATAAATACGTATTAAAAAAAAAAGTTTAACAAGTTTCCGAACACAGACTTTTCAGCTAACATGTGTTGTGAATCTCTAAGAGAGAGAGCATTTCCCAAAATTTCCTAAGCATTTCTTGGTTCACAAGTCTCTTGTCGGCCAACCCTGCATTAGAGGAGAGGGAGGAGTCAGGGCCACACTGATGTTTCTCTCCAGCAGTCTCAGTGCGGCACCAAACTTGGATGAAACCTGGACCCCCCAAGTTTATACCTGGGAGTGAAGGCCCCCAAGTGACTCCTTGTCATCGTCAGCACCGCCCCTGGCATTTCGGTGGGCCGTCTCATATCCAAGCGGTAATTCCACACTGTCACAGGCTAGGGGTCAGGGGCAAGCTGTGCAGAGACTTCATGCCACAGACAGGGAGGCTCAAGTCCAATGGCTTGAGCACTGTCTCGTAGCTAACAAGTGAGTCTGGAAGCCAGTCTGTCCCTTCCTAGCCCAGTGGCTGTTGTTTGCACCGCACCTTTCTTGGAAAATCATGGCCAACGACTCTGAGTCTCACCACAAAGAAATGTAAAGCAAAACATCCATCAGATTCTATTTTGAACCCATCAGATTTTAAATTTGGTGATTCCCTACTTCTGGCAGGAATGTATAGAAAATAGGCCCTGTTGATGGACGTGTACATTGATGCCGTCTTTTTAGGAGAGTCATTTGCAGCATCAGTCAGAATTTCAGAGGCATATGTTCTTTGGACCCGGTGATTCTGCCATCAGGAATTTAGCTTGTGCACAGGGGTGTTTGCTGTGGCTTTTTCTTTGGGGAAGGTCGGGGGAGGTGCACCCGGGAATACGGGATCCTAGTTCCCTACCAGGGATGGAACCTGAGCCCCTGCATTTGAAGCATGGAGTCAACCATGGTACGGCAGGGAAGTCCCTGTTGTAGCTTTCTGAATACTAGAAATAGAATCAGTCTAAATATCCATCAGAGATTCATTTTTAACCATGACTTATCCACATAATCGTATTCATGTTATCGGAGAACAGTATTACCTAGATCGGAATGTTATCTAAATGAGCTGATTTCTAAAGGTGACAAAATATTTGATAAGAAAAACATTCAAGGAGGAGAAGGATATGTATACTCTCCAGCTTGTAGACTTGTTCGAAAGGGATACACATTTGAAGAAGGAAAAAAAACACCATTGCTAAAGTATTTTAAAACAGCCTTGATGTTTTATGATGTTCAACTTTTAAAATAGAGTCTTTGTCTCCCTGGCTCCAGCACTCTTCTGGAGGATGTCACAGTCTAAGCAGCGAGCCTAGTGCTAGAAATTTATAAGGTACTTTTTTCTTAGGATACACAAGTGGCTGCTTGTACGGCAAGAGTAAATGTCAGCTTCTCTTGGACTTGTGGAGGGGAGCCAAGAGTTGAAACGTATCTCTTCCTGCAAATCCTGCAGGGTGTAAGCCTTCTAAACTTTGTGGTGGCATTAAATATGTGAAGTCAGTCATGGGCTTTGTCCGCTCTGGCAAAGAAGTTGACAAAGGGCCCTTTCACACTGGTCACGTGGTGTCTGCAGCCACTTTGCTCTGAATTTCTGCCGCTTTGCCGCAGTCAGGATCCTTGCTAATCACAGTGTTCAGCAAGTGGACAGATTCATATATTTATCCTCATCCCCGGGTGGGAAAATATTTATTTGCATGGGTATTTGACAGCTGGCTCATGAAATTAGGAGATTCTGAATAGCAAGCACATGTTGCTTGTTGTGATAGAAAAAAAATGAGAGAATCTAAGGACAAGCTTGACCAAGATTTTCCAGAAAATAAGCACAGTGTTATACTGGATTCTGATTGACTTCTGAAATGTTTGTTTGCATAACGAGCCCGTCCTGTCTTGGAAGAAAATAGTTGAGGCTGAATAATCCATTCTTTGGTTTGTTTCAGAAACATGTGTGTTTGCATTTCTTGGCCTGTCCATTTTTAGTTTCCCTCACAAGTTTGAAATTTCCTTTGTCATCTGGTGCATAGTAAGTATTTTCCTTGTTTTTTATTTAATGACTTATTTGTAGATCAATAACCACATATTCTGGATTCATTTATGTAACTGTTAACGGTCACAGTCAACAGCTACATAGACAACCTCTGTTGCAAGTTTCTTTTCGTTAAAAAATCATAAACATACAATAAATGGGAAAGGGTGAAATTAAATAAATATCCCAAGAAAAGTATTTTTGCTTGGTTTTTAATTTTACGTGACCTGTTGCATTAAATAGTCGCTAAGTTGTGTCAGACTCTTTGCAACCCCATGGACTGTAGCTTCCAGGCTCTTCTGTCCATGGAATTTCCCAGGCAAGAACTGGAGTGGGCTGCCATTTCCTTCCCCAGGGGATTTTTCTGAGCCAGGGATCAAAGCTGGGTCTCCTACATTGGCAGGCGATTCTTTCCCATCTGAGCTACAAGGGAAGCCCTGAATAGTTACAGTCTTCTTCAGAAATTATCAGTTCTTTTGGATCGTCCCCGATAGCCCAGTGGTTAAGACTGCATGCTTCCACTGCAGGGGGCACGGGTTTGATCCCTGGTTGGAGAACTAAGATCCCATGTGCTGTGTGGAATGGGATACACATGCGCGCACACATACAAAATACCAGTTTTTAATGTTAGATGGTAAAAGCAGATTTCAGAATTGAATGTGTAATTGATTATAACCATGTAAAAACAGTATGCCTAGAAGGAAAAAATCTGTAAGAAAATATACCAAATATTCATGATGGTGGCAAACTGGGGATGAGTTTCTTTTCTACTTCTTCTAGATGATTGTAATGAATATACCAAATTCTTACTATAGTTTCCTTCAAATGTGTCCATTTTTAAGAGTGACTTTGGACACTTGTTCACGGTAAAGATTCCAGGATCCTTCTGTCCTCTGGAGATTCACCCTGAGGCATCATCATCCCCAGTGATTCTTATCATCAGGTAGACTTGGGAAAGTGTTATAACTGGACAGGAGAGGCGTGCTGGCAGTGAAGACAAATTAAGATATGCTTTTAAGAAAGGAAAATAGAAGTTTAATGATTTGAATTAAAATCAGATTTGGGAAACGGGAGAAAAATAAATGTTTCAGCATTTAAAAGAAAGGTCCATCTCCTTCAGGCACCTGATGGAAGCGGCGTGAGTGGCGAGCGTTCAGGCGTTTCGCCGGTGTCGCAGGCCCCTCATCTGTGTCCCCCTGTGTGTCTTTTCCCTCCGAGTGAACCCATCTCCCATAGGTCCTCCTGCTGAGTCATCCTCCCGTCCCGAATTGGATCGCTGTGTTGTCTTTTTAGATCCTCTGTTAAGACACTTGCAAAGCATACCTTGTTAAGTTGAGTTACTTGTTGAGTAATTCATCCTGAGTTAACTTTTATTAACAACTCCACTTAGCAACACACAGCTATTGAGAGGCAGACTTTTTTTTTTAATCACTGTCACCTACCATGCGCAGGCCAGTGAGGCCGTCTTCCTGTTTGGCATGTGGGGAGCCTGAGGCAGAGAGGATAAGGAGCCCAAAGAAGAAAGATGTTTTTCTTTTTGCAGTCTGGTTGCTCCTGCCTTAGTCAGCACGACCTCATAGCTTTTGTCCCTGTTATCTGTCCTCCAGACTCAGGACAAGAGAACAGAAGCCCAAGTCTCTTAGAGAAAGGCTGATGGCCTCTAGGGTGGTCGCTGGTGGAAGAGGCCAGTGTGGCCGCACCTGGAACGCAAACCCGGGGGTGGAGGACTCGACCTCCGAGGGTGAAACGGAGGTGGCGATCTCGGCCCTGGGCCAGGAGGGAAAGAGAGGCGAAGGGGGTGCCTGGGGCAGGGACTCAGGTCCCCCCCAGCACCTGGTCAGCCTGGCCCGGCCGCCCCTGGAGGCGGCCTGTGCCGTTCAGAGGGAACACCTCAGGGTCATTCTGTGGTCAAGGGCGTGGGCACTGGGGACTGAGCCAGGTTTGGGGACTTGGCGCCACCACTTCCTGCCTCTGTCAACTTGGACCAGTTACTTCATACTTCACCTCTCTGTCTCAGTTTCCTTGTCTCTAAAATAGAGACAGTAACACCTACCTTATAAGACCTTTGGAAGGATGGGAATTGAACGAGAATGCATATAAAATGCTTAGAACATTGTCTGGCATATAAATGTTAGGTGATTGGGGGCAATTATTGTTAACTTGACTTTCCAGGGCACACAGTCCAAAGCACACTCAATTCATGCTGGTTAAAAGAATAAACTTAGACTCCCCATAATATAGCTTATGGCTATATTGTTCTGTTCAAGTTAATGGTAGTGAGAACCAGGATGAAGAAAAGAGAAGAAAATTAATAAGTAGTTCTAAAAAGCCACTTAGATAAGATTTGGACTTTACATAAAACGATATTTTGTTAAAATCGACCTGCCTTTGGAGATGGCTTGGAACTGGCAGGGTGTATGTGACCTGGTAGAAGCTACCTGCATATTCCTTTAGCTCAGGGAGCAGCATTTATGGGCATGGGTAGGCCGTCTTCCCTCCTTTCCTGGAGGAGTGGGGCCCTGATAGGAGAGGCAGGAACACCTTGTCTGTCCCCCAAGAACTAGCCCATCACACAGCCGGGCACCTTCAGAGGAGCCGGGTGGCCCTTAAATTCCTCTTGGCATTGCTGAAGCCGTCATTGATACCTTGTTAGTCCTCTCTTTCTGACAGTGGAAACATAACATACAGAGCTCTAATCCTTTGCCACATGTAGAAACTGGCATGCCCGCGTCTCTACCTAGCATCGAGGTCATGTCTTGGTGACAGAGGGATGCTGCCACTATCACGGGGGTGTCGCCAGTCTGTGTTCACCTCGACAAGCCCGAGGGACCGGAGGCTTCCCTGTCAGACCTCTCTGTTGCTCTTCGCAGGTGCTTGTGCTGTTCGGTAGAGCGGTGAACATTTTCCCCCTCTCCTACCTCCTGAATTTCTTCCGTGACCATAAAATCACCCCGAAGATGATGTTCATCATGTGGTTCAGCGGTAAGTCCAGTCTCAAGTGAGCCATGGAGGAGACCATGTCATGAAGGCACAAACTGGCCTTTTGGAGAGTGGACGTGGCTGTCCCTGGAGCCCTTCCAAGCCGAGGGGGCCTCATCAGCCCCCAAAATCCACGCAAGGCCCTTCGTGAGCCACGCCCCTCCCCACAGCGCCCCCAGCAGGGGAGTGTGTCTGCCCCACAGACGGGGAGACCCAGGCCTGGGCAGAGGGCTTGCTGGGGGTCGAGCGACCTGGGGGCAGGGTCCCCTCCACCCCCTGTTCTGAGGGGCCCTGGGGGCAGGGCCGGGGTTTGCCCAACGTTCCAAGGGCAGCATCACATGCTGTGCATGGCACCGCTCTACCTGCACACTTTCCAGGCTGAAGTCACAAGGGGCTCAAATACTTTGAAGTTAACTTTATTATTTATGTATTTTTTTATGTTTGATGACACTGGGTCTTCGTTGCTGCTCACAGGCTTCTCTAGGTGCCGCGTGAGGGCTTCTCATTGAGGTGGCGTCTCTTGTTGCTGAGCACAGGCATTAGGCCTGGCATGTGGGATCTTCTGGGACCCAGGATCAAAACTCATTTGTCTCCTGCATTGGCAGGCAGATTCTTAACCACTGAACCACCAGGAAAGTCTGGGTGCTTAAAAGGTTAAAGTTTAAACCTTTTTGTACTGCAGTCTGCTGCTGCTGCTGCTAAGTCACTTCAGTTGTGTCCGACTCTGTGTGACCCCATAGACGGCAGCCCACCAGGCTCTGCCGTCCCTGAGATTCTCCAGGCAAGAACACTGGAGTGGGTTGCCATTTCCTTCTCTAGTGCATGAAAGTGAAAAGCTAGATGTGGATTTTTATTTTTTATTCAGTCACTAAGTTCTGATAGTTTATTTGACCATTTCAATCGCCATTCAGTCCCATATTCCCCTTTTGTAAAGGATGGAAATGATTCCATAAATCTTTGGCTCCTAAAGTACCGGATCTGTAGACATTTTTAAGTTTACTTATTTCTTTGTGGATTCAGGGTATAGCAATATGCTTTATAGGCTGTTTTCTATCCAACAGCATATCTCTACATTCCTTGAAGATTTCTTTTTCAAAAGATCTTGTTTAAAGTATATATATTATGTGTGTGTGTGTGGAGGACATGCAGGTGGTTAAGTCTGTATTTATGTGTAGATAGTGAAGGACACTTTTTTCTTAAATCTTTTTTGCCAGTGAGGAGAAAGAAAATTGTAAGGGAGTTAGTTGATCCAAGGTCTTCAAAATCCACCCACCCAAAAAAAAATCTAAGAAATGTATGAGGCATTTTCCAGGTACGTGAGCTCTTTGGGGGCAGGCAAGTATGGAGAGAGGCCTCTGGGGGATGTGGGGGTGGTTTAAACAGGGAGGCATCCTGGTCCTAGGCATTCTGAGGCCATGCAGGCCTCTCTGCATTGAGTCCCTCCCTCTTTCCTGGATCCTCAACCTGTCTCCATGGGCTCTTCCATCATTTCAACTGTTAAACAGACTCCTTTTCCCAGCAAAAATCCAACAACTTCAGCCAAAACCCCTCCATCTCTTCCCATTGTGGCCAGACCTCTTGGGCCAGCTTTTCTTGCCCATTTTCTCCAGGTCCTCACCAGCAGTCCACAGGCTGGACTTGGCCTTGCCTGAGTCACCAGCAGCCTCCTGCTGCCAGACCTGGTGGGCGCTGGTCCGCTGCACCCTGCCACCTTCTCAATTTGGGGCTTCTTCCTCCCCAGCCTGCGCTCTGACTGGGGATCCCTGCTTCCCCTCTTCCCTGGCCTCCCAGCCCGCCCTGGCCTCCCTCCTCTCCCTGGGGGTCTCCCCTCTTCCTCCACCAGCACCTCAGTCAACATTGGCCCCCCCAGACTCCGTCTCAGACCTGCCTCGTTTCTTGAGCCCTCACAGGCCCACCTGTCCTGTGGCCTCAAATTCCCTTCCTCCCCAAGCTGGTTCCTCTGACCCGGCCTTTCCTCTGATCCAGACTGCAGTGTCTACATCCTCCTTGGGTGTCACGAAGCCCTTGTGAGCTCATGGTCTAGGACTGAACCTACCTTCCTGCCCAACCTGCTTGTTTGCCAGCAGCCCCCTTTCTTCCACAAGAGACAATAACTTGTTTTATAGCAGAGGTGTGGCTCCCTCTTCGTGTTTGCTGTGCGCACATGCTGTTCTGTGCCAAGGCGTTTAATCCTCGGCCACCGTCAGGGCAGGCCCTGCTGTGTGTGGTTCCTCCTCCCGGCCTGGGAGTCTGCGGGGACAGGCGGGGGCCGGGGGTGAGCCTAGGAGCCAGACTCCTGACTGCCTGCCCAGCCCGCTGGGCATCCTCCGGGCCCTTCCCTTCCCTGGTCACCCACACTTTCCCTCTCCTGGGACCTGTAGCTTCCACTCCCCGTGTCTCTCTTAGATCCACCCTTTTTTTCTCTGCTGTGTCCCCATGTCAGGCCCAGGCTGCAGCAGCCGGCCCCATCGCGCGGTGATCCGTCTGGGTCAGATCCTGCCTCTGTGCTCCGCCCTCCCGCTCCTCGCCCACCCTGCTCCTTAGGGCCCTCACCCTCGCTTGAGTCCTTCTTTGGTGTGTCTCCTCCCAGCCACTCGGGGAGCTCCTATCCCCTACCCACGGCACCAGGAACTTTCTAGTGAGAACTTGCCATTTCGCAGCGCATCCATGCCCCAGCCCAGCCAGCAGCCTCCTAGAGACCAAACGGGAAATCAGGGGGAGGCCCACACGCGGTTCCCCGCGCGCAGGCGCAGCATCCTCGGGCCCACCGGGTGCTGGACGGATCGTATCCTGGGCTGTGGCTTGTGGAGCACGTCGCCCTGGGAGGACGCCTCATTGGCAGCCCCGGCCCTCCTTCGGTGTGCCGTGAGCGTGACAGGACCACGCTCCTGGGGCTTCCTGTGAGGCTCCGATGAGGTTGTGCACCCCCACCCCGCGCCGGGAGGGCTGGTCTGTACCACGATGCACCTGGCGCCGCCCGGCCGGGACAGAGCCTCTCACCTGGGCAGCCCGGCCGCCGCCGTGTGAAGCAGGGGCGGAGGAGGGTATCTCCCAGGCCCCCGTGTTTGCGGCCCCTCTCCTCACAGCCCACAGCCGCACGGGCTGAGTCTGCGCGCTCCGGTGGGTGCGGGAGAGTGTCCGAGCGGCCGCGGTGCCGGGCTGGACCCAGATCCCCCGAGAATCATGGCGTCCCCCGCCCCACTTCGTCCCCTCCCTGTCGCCCAGGCCTGCGGGGCGCCATCCCCTACGCCCTCAGCCTCCACCTGGACCTGGAACCCATGGAGAAGCGGCAGCTCATCGGCACCACCACCATCGTCATCGTGCTCTTCACCATCCTGCTGCTGGGCGGCAGCACCATGCCGCTCATCCGCCTTGTGGACATCGAAGATGCCAAGGCACGCCGCCGGAACCGCAAGGACGTCAACCTCAGCAAGACCGAGAAGATGGTCAGTGCCGGCCGGGCGGGCAGCGAGGGCGGGGGCGTGGGTCCCTGTGCACCGCCAGGGAATGTGGGGGCGAGACACGCTCTGAGGGTGCCCGGCCCATGGGCACGCACACACGCGCATGGTGCACGCGCACACGAGCTGTGTACACTTCGGCTTCCCACACCGAGGAGGAGGTTGGACTCCGGGTCTGAAGCCTGCCTCTTTGCGGTGGGTTGTCTGCCAGCCTCGCGAAACCCCGGAGGTGGTGATGTGTAGGTGGCAGCAGGAGAGAACCCCCTCTCAGGGTCTCCCAGTAACGCCCCTCCCCTGCCAATAACCACCCCACCCCCTTGGCCAGGACTGGACAAAGGTTTCAAGATTGCCTTACCCCCCAGCATTTAGCAGCAGCCTCCTGTTGGGGCGTGAGAGGAGGAAGGCTCTCACAGTGGTTCGGAGGGTCAGGGGAGCGGGCACTCTGCCCGGGACAGGAGAGGGCCTGATTTGGGGCTGGGGGTGCTCAGGGCGAGTTGCAGGGAGCCCCTGCCTCCTCCAACCCCCTGTGCCCGGAGTCACTGCCCTGGTGTCTTCCCCTCCTGTGTTTCCCTCCACCTGGGTGCAGAGCCCTGACGGGGGTCCTGCCTTCCTGCACCGTCCTCTGCTCTGCACACATTTCCAGAAACACATCATTTTCTAGATCCTTTATCGGAGGCCATCAGTAACTTGACTTAGTCATGGAAGGCACAGAAATCCTCAGCCAGAAGATGGGGAAAGGATGTGCCCACCTGTCACCTGAGACAGTCCAGCACCGTCTGGGGGACCTTGGTCTCCAGTCTGCCCTCGGCCTCTGTGGCCAGGGCTGTGCGTGGCGGCACCTTCAGAGGGCCTCAGGCCCAGAGCGCCCCGCCCTCTCAGCAGCCCTCCTCCACGTCTTGTCTGCTTTTAACCAAAGCCTAAGTGTATGTTCTCAGGCCTTTCAGTGGGGGCCTCCAGGGTCTTGCGGGTCTAGGACAGGGGCCCAAAGAATTTGCATTTCTAACCCATTGCCAGGAACTGCACCGCACTTGGCCAAGCCCACCTCAAACAGAACCAAGATGGGCGCTCGGAGGGGAAGCAGCTGCCGTTCGGGGCTTGTTTTCTGTGGTGCCTGTGCTTTGTTTGGACTGCCTTGGGTCTCCCTGATAACCTGCAGGAAGCAGGTGGTCATCATTCGTGATCCCATTTTGCAGATGAGAACACTGAGGCACACAGCTGAGGTCCCACAGACTCTTAACCACACTTTCCACCCCCAGTCTTCAAGGTGGGGGCTCCTGGACCAGCTGCATCAGTGGGAGCTCATTAGAAATGCAAATTCTTGGGTCCCATCCTAGACCTGCTGAATCAGGAGCTGCAGGTGGGCAGTGGGCCCTGTGTTCTATGGCTCCCCAAGTTGCAGGCGATTCTGGCGGCGGCCCCAGTGTGAGAAGCACTGCGCCCTCCCTCTCTCCTACCTCCTACACCTGGGGGGCACTGTGCTTGGGGGCAGGGGTGCAGAACTGCCTCTGGTGGCCCCTGCAGAGGGTGGGTGGTCCTGCGCCTCCCTCTCCAGGTCCCGTTAGGATTGTTGCTTCTGCCCTCTCTCCACGTGACCAGCAAACTCCCCCCCCCCCCCCCCCCCGGGTCCCTTTGGGTTTTTTCCTTCTCCCCCCCCCCCCCGGGCCCGCCAACCCCCCCCCCCCCCCTCCAGTGGGCCACTGCAGGCAGAAAGCAACAAAAGCCGCCTCCTTGTTCAGTTCACTGGTACGGAGACAGCCTGGAACGGCTCCTGGTCCTGACTGCACACGACAGGAAGCCAGAGAACTTAGACCGAGCTGCTGACTTCCTCACCATCTGACTTCCCCGGGTGTCCACCGTGTTCCTACACCTTCCTGCCTCCCTTCCGGCTCCTGGGAGGCCTGGGGCTGCTGCAGTTAGGGTTGGAGGCCCAGGGGCCCAGGGCGCAGGGCTGCAAGCTAGGCTGGGTGGTGTGCGGGCTTCCCGGCAGGGTCAGCTGACGCCTCCTGGGCTGCCTCCGCTCCCGCACAGGGCAACACCGTCGAGTCGGAGCACTTGTCGGAGCTCACCGAGGAGGAGTATGAGGCCCACTACATCAGACGGCAGGACCTCAAGGGCTTCCTGTGGCTGGACGCCAAGTACCTGAACCCCTTCTTCACACGGCGGCTGACCCAGGAGGTGGGTCGCAGGCCAGGGACCAGAGCCGGCTGGGCAGGGGCGGCCCACGGGCGGGGCGGGGGCGTCCTCCCCTCGGCTTTCCCTCCTTCCCAGGCTGGAGGGCTGGATAGGCTTCTGGGACTGGGCATCTGCTGCCTTGTTTAGTCCTAGTTTAATGGTGGGCTTGTTGACACAGTTTGGTTTCCCCGGATGGTAGACTTGGGACACTGATCAACTTCCGAGCCCAGCTGAGGAATCTCAGCCCTGCCGTGACCGAGGCCCGCGGCTCTCGCTCCATCCCTCCCTCCGGGCACTGCTGGCCTCTGGGTGACTGGGACTGACGCCCCGTCCCGGGCTAGCTTGGGCCTGCTTTGCTGAAAGGGTCACTCGCCGTGCAGGCCCGGGCTGGGGTTTCCCCAGCTGCAGTTCCGTCCTGGTTCTGAGCCCCGCCTTCCTCCTGCGGCGTCAGGGTGCCTTGAGCACGTGAGCGCTCAGTGGGAGCCAGGCGCTGCGCCAGGCGTTTTCTGTGATGGCGTCATTTCCTTCTCCCACCAGCCCACGTGGCAGACGCAGTGAGCTGTCTCCCCTGATAGCCAGGGAGACTGAGGCCCAGAGAGGTGCACTGCCCCTCCCGGGTCACACAGCCAGTGCGGGGCAGAGCTGAGAGCAGAGCCCAGCTGGATCTGATTCCAGAGGCCAGGTTTTTTTTTTTTTTTTTTTTTTTTTTAACATCGCACCATCCTGCCGCCGCCTCCTGTTCTGAGTGAGACCTTCCCATTACCTCCTGCCCACAAAGAAAAATCTCAGCCTGCTCACCGTCAGCACTTTGAAGTTGCCTGTGCGTCCTGCCTGCCGTCTCCTCGCACGCACGAGGCACAAAGCAGCTGTCCCGCCCTGCCTTGCCCCTGAGCCTGACCTTGACCCCACTGACAAGGGCTTGCCTGTCTCCCGCCCCAGGACCTCCACCACGGGCGCATCCAGATGAAAACGCTGACCAACAAGTGGTATGAAGAGGTGCGCCAGGGCCCCTCGGGCTCGGAGGACGACGAGCAGGAGCTGCTGTGATCGAGCGACACCCGGGACGACCCCGCAAGGCCCCAGGCGCGCGCAGGGGCAGCTCTCCGCTCTTCAGGGCGGAGGGAAGGAGGGTGACACCCGGGCCAGGGTCGTCCCAGCCCAGGACTCCGGGCCCTGTGGGCCAGCCGACTGCCCTGCAGCTCCCCTCCCCGCTCCTCACTGGGCCTGACCGCGGCCCGCAGACTGGAGGGCCCCCATGTAGGTAGATTCTTCCTATTGCTTCCAGAGCCAGGGAGCATTCATCTGTCCGGCGAGGTGCCCGAGAGGACCGGCCGTGCGGGGTGTCCCGGGATCGCGGTGCCAGTCACTGACATCCCTGGCCGCTGCCTTCATCACGGAGCCCTTCCCTGCCGGGGGGCGTCGAAACCCGCGGGGCTGCGAGCCGGCCGCCGCTTCCCCGCGCCTCGTCACGGTGCCGCGGCTCTCATCCGAGCGGCGGGCTCAGAACCCTCAGAACCTCGCCCTCCCCTTCGTGATGTTGCTCTCGCTCCGTGAAAAGGAGAAACCGAGTGACCGTTATTGTTTTACCTCCGACTGGCACCTCACAGGCTGTCTCCCCAGGCGGCAGGCGGCTCCCGCCTTCTCTGGGAATGCTGTGAATGTTTACACTGGAACCGCGCGGGCACAGGCCCTCGGGCCCCGTGGGAAGCTGCAGCCCTGGTTTGGGGGGTGAGCGAGCCTCTGTGGGCTCAGCGCCCTCTGGAGGGGAAACGTGGAGGCGCGGGTTTGTGCGGGCCTGCAGCCGCTGTCTGAATTCGCGTTAAGTTGCTGCATTTTGACGGAGCAGTGAGCCTAGCGGTACGTCCCTGACCTGACTCCTCGCTCAGTGCTCGTTCGCCCAGGCCCCTTTCCCTGGGCTCCGCCCGTGCCGTCAGCTCATCAGCATCTCTTCTTTCCCGCTCCCTGTTCTCTGCCGTCTTGAGTCCTCTGTTTGTCCCCGGTGCACCCGCTTCCCGGGACCCCCGTGGCCTGGAGCCGGATGCATCCGCGCCTCACCCGCCATGCGCAAGCAGCTCCTGCTTCCTCGGGACTCACGCACAGGGCGCTTGCACGTGCTCGCGCCCTCTTTCTCTCACACGCACACACAGCACCGTGGTCCGGCCCCTGGGCCATCTCAAGGTGTGAGCTGCCCATCACCACATGCATGGAGTCACTGAGTTGCCCGCGTCCACCACCATCAGTGGCCCTTTAACACGTCTCTACCCGGCTTGCTCTGTGCATCCCCAGGCCACCGGCGATTTCTGTATGTGGCTCAGGGTCCCAGCTGGAGCCTCGGAACTCGGCACCCCCTGGGGTGGTCCAGTTCATCGCAGGCACGTCCCTGGCTCCGTTGGGGACCCGGTGGACCGGCGTGGACCTTGGGCTGCAGCAGAGCTGTCTCCGTCTTTTCCGCCCCAGGCAGGGTGGCTCAGGGTGTGAGGAGGAACGGGCCTCAGGACCTTCCCGGACTCGCGTGCCCTGCGTGCAAGGCTGCACCCCTGCCCCCACCCCTCCCCTTTCCCCGGAAGTGTAGGTGTGAAGCCAGGCAGGCGGACAGCCCATGGCTTCCTTTTTGTGCATGAAAAGTAAATCTGTACTTGACTGCTAAAAGGTGATCACTTCCTTTTGTCACATCCCACCTTAACCTGTAATTTGAGCCAAATAGGATTATTTTTCTTCACCTAATCTCCCCACTGGAAGATTAATGCCAGGCTTGATTCCGGTCTCCATTTCCGGTTTCTTGTTAGTGGAAAAGTAGAAGATGGAGCGGAGGGGACCTTTGTCCATGCGCAGGGTGTGGGGAGGGCAGCAGGCCTCAGAGACCGGATTGTCTTCTCATTCTTCAGTTCATCAGTAACTTGCTCCCCCCACCCGCCTTGAAATTCAGTCAGATCTTGAGGTGTAAGTTGCATTGTAAATTCAATAGCCTGCCAGAAAAGAATCTTTTTTGGCTGTGAGTTCATAGATCCTTCTACGTTCACTGTGCCCTTGGTCACCAAGTCTCACCGGGCCTCCACTTTTAGCTGAGACCCGAGAAGGACACTCCGTAGAGAAGCACGTGAGGGGCCTGGTCCCCGGGGCTTGGCCGTGTGGAGGTGCTTGCCGGCGAACCTTTCCGGGGCTGCACGGGCACCGGCCTGGACCTTCCGTGAGCCGCTGCTGCCCTCTGCTGGCCGAGTCGAGGTTTCGCAGTGTGGGAGCGCAGCCCGCGGGGATGCGGGGAACCGCGTTCCTCAGCGTTCTGCCGGTTCACCTTTGCATAGGCCAGAGCCCGTGGCGAGGTTTCTCTTGTGGACTTCTTTCAGCTGTCATCGCCTGAGAATCAAAAACTGCTGTCTGCCTTTACCGTTCCTGGGGTTTTCCTGGTGGCTTAGCTGGTAACGAATCCACCTGCAATGGGGGAGACGTGGGTTCGATCCCTGGGTTGGGAAGATCCCTTGGAGAAGGGAACAGGCTGCCCACTCCAGTATTCTGGGCTGTATAATTCCATGGACTATATGTATAGTCCACGGGGTCGCAGAGAGTCAGACACAACTGAGCGACTTTGTCTTTACCATTCCTAATAGTTCTATTGTTTGGGGCAGAAAATCCCCAGGAGAGTTTTTAAAGCCCAGCATAACTATAACTTCCCACATACTTCCTTTTAGGTCCAGGCCATGGGACAGGAGATCTGTAGCACACAGAGAAGGTAATAACTTTATAGAGAGAGGTGAAGGCTGCAAAGTCAGTGAGTGCCTCTGGGAAAGGTAGTCAGCCAGTGAACTCTGAAGACCTGCTGTCTTGGGGATTCCTGCAGCAATAAGCCCACATCCCAAGGCCCCCCAAGCAGCTCTGTGGTTGTAGGACCCCTGGAAACAACTGTACTTGGAGGTTTGGGGCGTGAGGCCTTGACAGGGAAAGAAGCTGGCTTTTCCTGGTCCCCCAGAGGTCATGTTTGGGCTGGGCTGGCGCAAGGCCAGGCGGAAGGTGGCTCAGTCCCATCGTCTGGGGCTCAGGCCCTCTGCCCAGGGGCAGGCCAGAGGGCCGCCTACCCCAGGCGAGCCACCTCTGCAGACTGGCCTGCTGGCGGGCCCTGGCAGCCCCTGCGTCCCCTAGGTCGGCCTCGTTTGCCTGCAGACTCTTGTGTGTGCGGCGGCATGTGGAAGATCCTCCAGTGGGGTACCTTCTCCTTGAAGCTGGCGTCAGAGGTGGCCCCGTGGGATCTCAGGTCCACACGGCCCCAGGGGCCCACACATTTGGCAGAGCCCCCAGCGGGCAGGCAGTCAGGATCGCTCTTCTGCTTTGGTGAGAAGGGCCAGGGTGGGGCGGGCTGGGGGCAGTCCGAGGCGCAGGCCTGGCTGAGGGTGGGTCTGGCCTTGGAGCTGGTCCCCGATTCTGGCATGAGGAGGACTCTCAGCAGTGACTGGCCGTCAGTTAGACTTTAAATGCCAAAAAGAGGAAAAGATCCTTCGCGGCTTCCCCATTCACTGGCTCCAGAACCCAGGCACGTGTGTCTCCTGCTGGGTGGTCGGTAGGAAACCAGATCTGAAAGGTTCCTGATGGAGCAGCCAGGATCACTAAGAAGGTGCTGTACCAGGAGCCTGGTCCCCAAGGCCCCAGACAGTATGTTTTAAATGAAAACGCTGCAGTCAGAGTGAAGGCTGGGAATGAGCAGGCGGTTCCCTGCCGCCCAGTCTCCTGCCGTTTCCCTCAGAAATAGAGTCAGATCTTCAGGGACTTCTGCCATCTTGCCCTGTGTTACAGACAAAAGCAGACTTTCTAATGGCCCCTGGCCCACCCCACGTCACCGATTCTCATCCCAGATGACACGGTCCCTAATCCCGGCGGAAAACAGAAGTGTGGCGCTTCCCACCGGGGAGCAGGTCTTCTCCCAGCTGCTCGTCGGGAGCGTCACGGCTTCTGGGCGAGAAGGCTAAGTGGTCGGAGCACAGCCGTGGGCCCCTGAGGCCGCGGAACTGACGGGGCGCGTGCAGCTTGGCGGTCGGAAGAGAAAGGTCACCTGCCGGTGCTGGGGGCCCATCCAAGGAGCTGGCCAGCCACGTGCGAGAGCCGCTTCTCTGGGCCCAGCCCTGCTCTGAGGAGCTGAGACGGCGCCCAGGCCGGGCAAGGCGCCTTACTCGCTGGGCCTCCTCGAGGTGTGTGGCTGTGTGTGTGAACGTGTGCGTGTGCGCTCAGTCATGTATGATTCTTTGTGACCGTGGACTGTAGCCTCCTGGGCTCCTCTGTCCACAGCATTCTCCAGGCAGGAATAGTGGAGTGGGGTGGCATTTCCTCCTCCAGGGGAGCTTCCCCGCCCAGGGATCGAGCCTGCGTCTCCTACATTTGCCAGGCAGATTCTTTGCCACTGTGCCACGTGGGAATCTAGAACGTTTTCTCGAGTACAGCTCCTGCAAAACTTGGTGTGTTCAAGGTTAATCAGAATCTTGTATTCTTTTGAGTAGTTTTCTTTGTAAAAATGAAGGATTTTTAAAGCACTCTGTTTTGATAGAAGGACCGTGGGGAAGGCCAGCCTGTCCCTCTGTCCCCCCCCCAAGTAAGCCCGGCCTTGGCTTCTGAGTGCTCTGCCGCTCTTGGTGGGGCTGCGGGCCAGGGAAGGGAAGCGGGGTCAGAGGCGGGGGGCCCGCGGCTGCTGTGCAGCAGCCCCCGCCTCGCCTCACTGGGCTCTTTAAGAGTTCAGAGGTGGACGGAAAACAGTACTATCACTGGATGCCCTGTAGAAATAAAAACGAATGCTGCTGAATCTGAACCACTTTCTGTGTTTGTGTCACGCGGCTTTGCAAAGGCAGGGGTTGCACACCTCTAGGCCTGGCTCTGTCAACGTGGCCCTGCGCTCTCGGCCAGAAGTGGGTGCAGAACGTGGGGGGTGATGGGCAGGAGCGTGGGCTCGGGTGCCCTGCCTCTGTCTCTGTGGGGCTGCGCCCACAGGCCCACAAAAGCCTTGAGACCAACGCCCAAAGGCAGCGGCAGAGACACCGGTGGTTTGTCGTGTGTGTCAGTCGCTCAGTCCTGTCCGACTCTTTGTGACCCCATGGACTGTAGCCCACCAGGCCCCTCTGTCCATGGGATTCTCCAGGCAAGAGTACTGGAGTGGGTAGCCCTTTCCCTTCTCCAAAGGATCTTCCCAACCCAGGGATGGAACCCAGGTCTCCCACATTGCAGGTGGATTCTTTACCGTCTGAGCCAGCATGGAAGGTGTAATGGTTTGGCAGATGGAGGGATCTTACACAAGGGGCGTGGAGCCATACCCCACCGTATACGGCAAGTGGTGGGCAGAGCACAGCGACGGCCTTCAGTGCCCCCAGGAGGAGGCAGCCACCATTTATAGGTGGGGGATTGATGTCAGGTGGGCCAAGGTACCAGGATCTGATTAAGCCCTGTAATTAAGAGGACTGGACAGTCATGTGAGGGAAGCAGGGGCTGGTCAAACAGGGGACGCACCAAGAGCAAGAGAGCAGCCATCTTGAGTGGCCTAAGCGTACAGTCCCTCTGTGGGAAGGGCTCAGGTCAGGCCCCTCCGTCCATGGGATGCTCCTCCAGGCAAGACGAGTGGGTTGCCAGCTTCTCCAGGGGATCTTCCCAACCTAGGGATGGATCCCGAGTTTCCTGAGTCTTCTGTGCTGGCGGGCAGATTCTTTACCACTGAGCCATCTGGGAAGCCTTTGGTCACAGGTGCAAACAGAAAACATGTGATATAAACGAAACCAGGCAAGGGAACCTGTCCTGACCCCAGGACCAGCCTTCTGGCGGGAGGCCAGGACTGGACCTCTTGGTCCCCCCTGACCCTGCAATGCCTCCCCAGTGCTACCCCACCTCTCCCACCCCTGGGCCAGAGGAGGCAGCGGGGAAAAGAACCTATCACATCTTGGCCCCTTCTGGTGCCTGAACTGCCAACCGCGTGGCCAGATCAACGCCTGCCTGCGTCAGTGGGGAACTAGGTCCAGAGCCGGGCTGGTGGGAGCGCCAGTGGCCCTCAGCTCCCGTCCCCCTGTGACAGAGACTGGGCTCAGAGAAGGGCTTCTCCCGCCTAGTGAAACTGTGCGAGGGTGATGCCAGTGGGCCCGGGAGCGGTGGGAACCCCGGCAGATAGGAAGCAGGCTCTTCCAGGCCCCGGTGGCCGGGCGGAGGCTGGGAGGTGGAGTTTGCTGAGCCCGGTCTGCCTGGAACAGAGCCCTGGGGTTATGGAGAGGGGAGCCAGCGCGGCACCTGGGGAAGCCGGGTGTTTTACTCACATTTCAACCTTCTCATGGTCCAAAAAAGCACTCACTCGGGGTGAAGGGGAGCAAGAAGCCAGGGAAGACGGGTTTTCGTGAGGCTGGAAAGCTGCAGGGGAGGGTCACACAGGGCTGAAGGCCCTGTGACCAGCACGGGACGCCCAGAGGAGCCGAGCAGAGGTACAGCCGCTCCTGGCCGTTGCGCTGCCTTACCTGAGAAGGCTGAGAACAGGTCTCTGACCCAGTCCTGGCAGGAGAGGGAAGCAACATCTTAGGGAATTTCCAGCTGTTTCCTCACACTCAAATCGGTCACTCACAGCAAGGAAGCGCCCTCTTCCCTGTGTCTGGCCTTTGTCTCCCATCACGTGAGGATGCAGACCTGAGTTAGAGGCAACTCGG